TATAAGGAAAGGCTCCAGCCTCTCGCCTCACAGTGCTGTTCTGACTCTCTTGGCACAGTGGCATAGAGGAGGAATCAACTGAAAACAGGTGCTCAGAAGTTATAATACTGTTGAATACAGTATGTGGTGCAGACAGCCTGTCAGATGATGTTATTGTCATCCAGTGCCCTCTTCTATCACAGGTAAGGCAGTAGCAGTAAGAGTGCCACTGTCTTCACAAACCATTGCATCACACATGGCCACAGCAGCTACAGGCTATAGTACTACATGTAATCATCATCACTAAGAGCAGCAAGCAATTGAAAACAGCTCCAGATCTGCTAATCTCCCCATCAGTATCCCAATCTTTTACAGTTAGCGGGCTAATGAACCTATTCAGCTGTTCCTATTTCCTATAATAGCATCATTACACGTGGAAAAAAGGCCTGTCTGATTGCACCTAATATATATTTTAATACTCAATGTTTAGCTCAATTGAATTACATATTACAAGCATCATCAAATTCACAGGAGTCTGGCAGAATATATAGGTCTTTTTACAGAGAGTCATTGCATCCTCCTCTGTATTTGACACAGTAGATTTAACTTTGTCACGTTACAAAAGACATTCCAATCGGCTGGCATAATAGCCTTGTCTTAATGGTCTTAGAAAAGGGATTCATGTGTTAGGCCTACCATAGTACAAAAACATATATTCACAGGTTTAAAGCTACAGTATTGAAGCTCAGAAAATGAAGCAAGCACTGACATGACTGCTCACGTATTGACTGACAGCCATGAGTTCCCACCTCTGACTTTGGCCCTCTCTGATTGGTTAGATGGGCACGACTCCCTCAGGACCTTTAGAAGGAAATATCTGCCAGGTTGTTCAGTGAGTCTGGGTCAAGTAACTTTAAACATAAAGGTTTTCTGTCCAAAAAAATAATGTAATTTGTAATTTTGTAATTTAAGAAGACATTTAATCCAATTTAACAATTCACAGTGATTGTTTCACTTTTATGTTGGGCTTTTCTGGAAGATATTGTTATAAATTGGTCACAGCCCTACGGTACAGCACAGAGGACAATGTGTTTTCAGGGCCATCTGAGGATTGATTGTGAAAATGTGAATGTAAGAAAAACTTTCTCTTGATCATATGAAGGAATTCCCCTCACACAAACAATAAATCAGAGCCTAAGAATAAGTTCAGAGGACCATCCTTCCAGGTTTCTGTCCTTCCCAGCATCACCCAGGAGCCCACATTAGGTTGACCTGTCTACTCTTAGGTTAGCCATGATTAATGGCCTGTAGGTGCTTCCTTCAGCCTATCAGATAGGTCTGATGTGTGTGTGGTGTGAACGTTATGAAGTGTGAATATGTCTGAATGGACATGAAACCCAGCAAGTAACCCTGTTAGCCTTTGGTCCTCTCCTTGCACACAGGAGGCTGTTAAGACACCCAGACAAACGTTTGTTATGAGGCTGTGTGACTGTTTGTGTGTGTAAACAAGTGTGCAGATGTATTTCTGTCATATCTTTTTTACATTAACTTCATTTAAGACGTTTTATGGTTTATACTAAGCAAAAGGTTACAATAATACAGCTAAATTTATTGATCATTTATATTGTCTCTACCAGTAGTTTCTAGAATTAGTTGAATCATGTTCAGTCTGTAACACCACAAAAGGAAACATAATTTCTCACAAATGCAGTTTCCTAGACTATTGTATCTTTAAATTGCTTGTTGTCCAACAGAACAAAACCTGAGGATATTCAGTTTACTATCATGTATAATAAAGAAAAACAGTAAATCCTCACAAATAAAAGGCCAGAACCAGAAACTATCTGGTATCTTTGCTAAAAAGGACTTAAATTAATTATCAAAACTGTTGCAGATTATTTTTCTCTTGAAGAAATAATTGACCAATAGCTGCAGCTATAAAAAGGAATATATGGTCGTTTGACATCACAATTTAAGGGAAAATCTATATAAAATACACTTTGTTTGGTGTATTCTTTTCATTTTTGCAGATAATCTGTCAAACATTAAGAAATGACACAGTTTCAACAAATGATTTTAAAATCTTTTTTAAGAATTGAATTTGTCAATGCATCCCTCAGAGTCAAAGAGCAAGAGCTATTTAAAACATATATCCATTTGCACAGATTAGGTGGAAACGTCAAAGAAAAGACAGACATAATGGCTTCACGTAAAGAGGACTCAAGTGACCAGAATACAAAGCAGCTGCCTGTCAAAACTTGAAATGCCTTTTGATTGCCCCAAGAGTTTATTTTTCTCATCATAAATTAGTTTAACTTGATATTATTAGCATTATCCTGTTTTATTGCAGAACTGTCAACACTTCCTGCAGCAGAATGTAATGGATAAGGTATTTAAGTGTCTTTGTGCAAACTGCATATCTGCACATTTTGCTGCTCTGCTACACTCTGACTCTCATTATAAGTACCAGGTACTGTGTGGCTCTGCTACACTCTGACTCTCATTATATGTACCAGGTACTGTGACATACTGCACCCAGATTTAGCTGTTATATCTAAGCTATGTTGTATAAAATGGGTATGCAGTAGAACCTTTCCATTTGTGGTGAAACCTGCCAACAGCGCTGTCCTAAAGCTGCTTTAGCTGCTTGTACAGTACTTGTTAACACTTCTCATCCAGGCGATGTGAAATTTATCACACATACTGATTGGGTCTTAATGGACCAAGGGGCATTCATAATTGCCACAGGTAACATTTAAAGGGGATTACATGTGAAGTGACCTAAAGTGTGCCCCCTCGGGTACAGCAGCACACAAAAGGATTATCAGTACACATACACATCTGTGCCATCTGTTAGACGAACCAATCATGAAAGGGATTACAGTGTGTCTCCAGAGGACTCCATGAGAGGAGTGGAAATGTTCAGAGACGCAAACAGGAAAAGAAAAAGCATATATTTACAGAGGACTTTGATTATTACTCAGTGCTTTGAGACCATGCTGCTGCAAAGATTGTATACACTGGACTTTCACTGCATATGCTAAGTGGATTGTTTTTTGTCTTCTGTGCTGCCTTGCATTCCCCACTGAAAATATCCAGTGGCTTTCTTTATATTCTAGAGCAATGCTATTGGAGACATGTTACAGTAGAGATGCTGCAGTTCCTTTAAACATTCAAATGTTAGTACCAGTGCTTTTTTTGCTGTATTTATAGTGTCTTTTGTTTCCTTGGCAGTGCATACACCGAGCCTTTCCCACTGAATCCTGTCTCTGCTAGGCTGTCAGCAGACGAGGACCATGGCCGTACCTCAGAGGAGGAAGACGGGGTGGCCGAGCAGGGCTATGACCGACAGGTGAGATATGGGAGGCAGAACAAATGATACAAGGTTAGAAGGTGGTTCATTTGATCATCTCACACACTCCGGTCGGCATCAAAGTCGGGCCCGACAATGGCTACACCAGTCAGTCCTGTTGGTGTCACTATCATTAAGTCTATCAATGCTGTTGATGGGCGGGGGGGCGCAACTCCTCTCAGTACTGCTCTGGCCATTGGGATGGTTATTCTCTACCGCCCTTTATGAGTTCCACCAGGTGTGAGCAACGACTATTCTGCTGACCGTTGAGTGCCATAGCACCTCCTCTGTCCTTGCCTTTTGGGACTTCCATGTCCCTCCTTCACCGAGTGTACAGATCACTCACCATTTACAGCATGGTTGCTGTCTATTTAAACCACAGATGGGGCTTGGTTGTAAGTACCAGGGCTTGTCCACGCACCGGTGGGCCCGCACACCTCACCTCTGGAGGCCAAACTCCTCCAAGATCCCTAGCTATTTAGCCTGGGGCTGCAAGGTACCCAGTCGACGTGTGGTGCCACGAAGAGGCATAGCTGGGGCTTGATGGCGGAGAGGCCATGTACTGTCAGGGAGGACTTACGCACTCAGCCTCCTTTTCACTAAAAAGGGTCAGACAACGGCGGTAGCTAAGAGTGAGAGAGTATAAGCCCTTTCTATGCTACAACTACCACACTAGACGCATACCACCCGTCCTGTGAGCATTCATATAACTTACTCAATACAGTTTGATCATCTGAACTACAGAATTTGCCCACAAATCAGCAAAATGTGCAAAAAACATTTGAATGATTCAAGAGCAACAGACAGATTTGAACAAAAAGGACAATCATACAATAAAATAATAAGAGAGAATCTTCTGTGGTGCATACACAGGTTCAGAATGATCAGTTTGACAGTAATATATGCACTATTCACCCTGATTCACTGTGGAGCTGGCTGTAATGTATCACCTCAAATTCCCCAGACTTCTGTACAGTAAAAAGCTGCCATTTTACAGTAGCTCAGAGTTGGATCCCACCCGTCCTGCTACCACAATAATATCAGGCCCCTACTCCCATCATGTGACACGCATTTCCTTGTTTTCTACTTCTTCAAAGAAAAAAATACAATAAAGTATAGAAAAAATGAGGAGGAAGAGGCACACAGAGTCATGAGCCGGGCTCAGGAACACTTAACACCATTTAATTGAAGTGTGCTTTGGTTTTATTTCGCAGAAATGAGGATCGCCATGCCTTCCCTGGAATATTTGTGAAATGCCTCACATAGGAAATAATAACACTGACAAAGCACAGCAGCCTTGCCAGTAAACCAGCTAAATGGCTTCAAGTGTTATGTTTTGGCCCAGATGTTTTGAGGCCATGTGATTAGTGTCTAACTCAGTGGGTAGGATTGCTGTTACTACATGCACACGCACACACACACACACACACACACACACACACACACACACAACCTCTCATACATAACACATCCAATTTGAAAAGGCTTCATGTCTATGCTGCACTATAATGAAATGATCAGTCTTATTTTGACAGCAAAAATAAATAAATAAATAGTGAATTAGCTTTTTCACAAGTCTGGCTGTGTAGCTGTCCCTGTTAATGTTCAAGAGGAGGAACTGCCTACAGAGAGCCTTTAGACATTAACTGTGCTCATTTATCTCCTACTGTTCTCCCTCTCTGTCACACAGATTGATGGCCGATCGCGAGCGTTCTACATTGCCAAGGAGCTTGTCGACTCAGAGAAACTGTGAGAGCCTGCGCTCGTGGATTTCCTTATTTTCACTGTTCTCCAGCATGTCATCACACACAAGCCTGCTGCATCCACATCTGATCTTTCATCTGCTTTCCTTTTCCTTTCGACAGTTTCTACCATGCTCCTATACTCATTTGTTGAGCTGTATGCACAGGAACTGACAGCTAATTGTACATCTTATGAAACTTATCAAAATGCCAGTCTTACTGTACTTTTACCCTGCTACACACTTATCCTGCTAATTTTCTTATCATGCATAGTTTAAATAACTTAATGTATCTTGCAGAAAGATTAGCATAGTTGTGTAGTTGTGTCAAAGAGTGAATTCTTCTTCATAGTTGAATTAAATCTTATGTTTCTCTCCTTTTGTTTGTAGACATGTCAGTGCCCTGAAGTACCTTCAAGAGGTAGGCAAACCTTCACAGCCATGAATGTCTCTTGCTTCAAGGCCTATAAAATTTTTTTGAAAACCTACTGATAGCATCATATCCTGTGTGTCTGCTCCCCAGTCTTTGTCTCCTTCTTCTCCTCCTCCCCCAGTTGTAAGGCTCTGCTCAGGTTTATCAGTGTTGTTGCAGCAAGTTCTACTTCCTGGTCTTGGCAAATTTTACATGTACTCTGGTGTGGTCAGTTGTAAGATGACGCAGCACGCGCACACACCAGGCACATTTGCAGATGCTGTCCTTGTATCCAAACACAATTCATACCATATGTGTAGATACGCAAACAACCCTCCTGGAAACCAGCCACCCCGACAACCTGATTGGCCAACCCTGGTGCCACCAAGAGTCAAAATGTGATGCTGGTCAGTAATAATGAATGAAAAATGAAAAACAATGACAAATTGTCACCATAAATGCAAATAAATATTTTTTGTGCTTTAAAATTAATATTGATCAAATTAGATTTATTAATTCTTTTTATTGATTCTTAATAATGTATGCTTTATTATTTCCTAGAATTTGGGGCTTAATTTACCTTTTACATGTATTTCAAATGTGCCACCCCTCTCTGAGTTTGTGCCCCATCCTGGCCACCCATTCCCAAATTTTCTAGATCCACCCCTGCATAAATGACTTTCAAATTGTGAACACTGAAATTATTTGAAAAATGATTTCATTTTGATTGGAAAGGAACATGTTTATGGAGACATCAGATAGGCAACACCTTTTAAAAAGCAGTGTGTAAAGATGATGGTCGCTAGTACAAATCTGTCAGGTAGAGTCATTGCACTCAGAGACGCCCATCATTCAGCCTGTACCTTATAACCTTGAATAAGGTCATAACCTGAATTTCATATGTGCACCCCCTCACTGTGATTTATGAAAGCCTGCTGTGAGTACAAAAGCAGCTCTTCTGTGTAATGTGCAATTTGATACCATTAAACAGCAGCTAATGCAAATATTATACAGCGGACCCCTCTGATGATCATAAATTTGCAAACTCATTGTGACGCTCAATTATACTAATTAGTCACTGCCAAAATACAGACAGTAACATGTGCTGCAAGCCAATATGTGCATCAGTGCTTCAGAAGTGACATTTTGACAGTAACTTCACAGCATACCCTGAACTACTTTTTTTTGTGTGTAAATTGTCTGTTTTCACAACATCTCACTTTAAAGAGACATGGAGTAGCCCTGGCCTGTGCTCCTCTTCACTGTTACAAGCTAATTAAATCTTCTTGCCGCCTTTCAAAGTTGACACTGAAGGTGTTTTCATCATGCTGTTGCATAATGCATAGGTACAGTGTTAGCTATCATTATACTTCCCACAGTGAGATATTAGTTACTGTCTGAAACAGCATGAACCTGAATAATTCAGCTGGGAAAGACTCTAGCGGCCAACGTGTACAAACACACGGTTTGGGGGGGCAAAAACAGGAGAGCGCAAAGTAAGAGGCACACATGAGCTATTGTTCCATTGTTTCAAAAGGAAGAGAAAATACAAAGAATTTTCAAAGTCTCCACGTAGGAAGGGAGGCCGTGCTCTTCTTCTAAAAAACATTCCTTATCACAGCTTCAACATATCAGCCTTAGACTTAATATTTGCTTTCGTTTGTAAACCGTGACCTCTGAACAGACTCTCTGCGCTGAGTTACGGCCACACATGACTGGCCACTCAACCGACTGCTTAACGTTGCTTCTTGAACTGCCTTAGCTGAGAAAAATATGGATGAGGTGTAGAAAGGATCAGCAAAATGGAGAGTAAATCTCCTCTCTGTCTTGGCTTTGAGAGTGTGTACTGTATGTGTGTTAAAGTATCTGTTCTTCTCCCTAGCAGACATGATGAATGCTAACTCATATGCCATCGACTGTGCGTGATGAACAGCATGTGCTGAAGTGCCCGGTGTCACCATATTATCTCATGGCCTGGTGTTTTATGTCTGTGCTATACTCAGAACTGAAATGGATGGCCTGTGATACTTATCCCTTACAGACACATCAAGGCTTTATATATGATGCTAGTTTCTTTGGCCACAGAGAAAACAAAGATTTTTCAAGATGTTTCTGCAGCTCCTAACAGTTCATCCAGTTTCATCTATCCATGTCTTCATTTGCTGAGTAGATAAATAACTTCTCTGTTTTTTTACTCCCCACTGCAGCTATTAATGCCTGCTGCACCTGCTTTATATCTGCTGAATGGGCTTCACTGAGCTTAACTTCACTGCCTATTAATGAGTTTTTAGGTCCTTGTCTACAAAGAAATGAAACGTGGTGACTATGTACAAATCAGCATTGTGTCATTGAGTACCAAGGTCGTTATGCAACAACACCTGGCGTGTAGCTCTTGTACAAACAGTGCCGCCTTTCCTGAATGCCTGGACAGAGCCCAAAGTCCTGAGATGATATGAAGGGAGGGTGTCAGGAAGGATGTTTAGGAGGATCTGACCTTCCACCATTCCATCTTTCCCCCCATCTTCCTCTATTCCTTTCATCTCTCCTCCCTTCCTCCTTCCATCCTCACAACCATTTCCTCCATTCCTCTCTCGTTTTCCTCTGCTTGGCAACTTTGTCTTCCAAAAAGTCTATCACCACACATCCAGTTTCCCTCTCTTGTGCAGGACTTCAGGTCAGCAGTGGCTGAGGCAGTGGGTGAGGATGGGGTGCCAGTGCTGGAGGAGCAGAGGTTAGGGGAGATATTGGGTGTGCTCCCACAGGTCTACACCCTCCACAGCAGCATCCTCACTGAGCTTGAGGAACGTATTAGTCAGTGGTAAGAAGCACCACACACAATACTGATAATGGTGCTGTGGCATATTCTTCCGCAGTTCAGCTGAGTTTGAGTTTTCATGTAGCCACAATACGCTCGCGTGAAGTATTGAAACTATGACAGACTGGTGCTGGGTGGAAATAGAGTAAAGAAACTTCCACAGTGGTAATAATTCACTGTCTGCTGAGGTCACAATAATTACTCTATCCTTACCCTAACCCTGCTTCAAAATGCACAGCTGTATAAATTAGGTCAGTCCTTTTTCAACTACAGGCCTATTCCTAGTTTGTTGGTGTTTTATTAAAGGAAGAGTTTGACATTTGGGGAAATACATTTTGATTTGTAATCTTGACAAAAGATACATGAGCAGACTCATGTCATCAATATGTCTTTACTGTAAAAATGAGGCAGATAGTTAGCTTAGCTTAAATACTGGAAACAAGGAGAAACCTGGCTTTGACCAAAGGTAACAATATCTGTCCACCAACACTCCTTTAACTCACTTGTTAGCTCGTTATATCACGTTTGCTTAATCCATACAAAAAACCAAGTGTAAGAATGACGAGTTATGGTTTTAAATGGGGTAATGTGCTGAAGTGATGTCCTAGTATCCACTGGTTGCCTCACAGTGATAAAATGACCTGTATTAATTAGACAGAGCTGGACCAGAGAGACAGAAATAAGCTAACCACATGCCGTTTAACCGAACAGATATGACAGTGGTACCGATCTTCTCATCTAACACTTGTCAAGAAAACAAATAAGCATGTTTCCTAAAGTATCAAACTATTACTAAGACTAGAGCAGTGCAGTCACACTGATGTTGTAAGAAAGAGAATGGCTTTTATAACTTACATAGCTTTCAGCTGAAAGCAAAGTGTCCTATTCTGTTTGTTGAAAGTTGTCAAACATTATTCTGTAAAATACCAGAATTGAAGTAGAAGCAGGCAAGGAAGGCTGAGGAAAATTGGTTACATCTAAAAAGACTTATACAATCCTGAAATAATCAATCAGCCAATCACATTTTTATTTTGGACACATTTAGGGTCCATAAAATAATAATGTAAGAAATACAATATAATAATACGTAACATACAAAGCAAATAAATCAAAATAAAAAAACACTGCACATGACAAACTTACTTTATCTAACTGTGTAAGAGTACCGAAGGATTCTTCCTTTTAATCATAAGTATTAATTGTACATAAAGCTGTTAATGAAAATGTACTTAATTGTTAGTTTTCTTCACTGTGAAGGGAGGAAAGTCAAAGGGTGGTGGATGTCATCCTGTCTCGTCGAGAGGACTTTGGGGTGTTTGACACCTACATCTCAAACTATGATCGCAGCATGTCCTTACTGGAAGAAAGCAGCAGGAACAGCTCAGCCTTCGCCAGCATCGTCAAGACATTTGAGGTAAAACTGTGGACCTGACAGTCCAGAACATGAGCAGATGCTGAGCTGTTGTTGATATGACTGCGTTTTCTTGCCAACAATCTTATCACTGTTTTTTATCTGGTTACTATCATAAACACAAGTGTGGGTTTGCAGTTCTGCGTGGTAGGCAGAAATCTTCTTCAAAGGGGGACTGGAGGGTTTATTTTGACAGTCACATTTAGATTTCAGGTTTAGTTTCCATATTTGCGGAGGGAAAGTGAAGCCTTGTTTTCCTGGAGTAGAGACTGAATTCCCCTGGCACTCACTCAGCAGCTTGCTACCTACACTTCTGTCACCTAGCTTACATGAGGAGATAATGGCCTTTCCAAACCCTCTCTATCCTGCTCCTCTCCATGGGACTGACCTTCCCACTGTCACGTTCGCATACTTTAAACCCACTCAACACCAAATACTCATTCTTTGGCCAGCGTGAATCTCCTCATCCTTGATACTCTCTGGAGAGCAGGGATGTGGAATCTGGGGTGAAGGAATCAAATCAACTGAAGGCTCTTTTTAAGTGTCACAGAGGTCCAGAAATTATTTTCCTGGCTCACCTAATAAAGTCTTTATCCTTTTGTTTAATTGGAATATGTATAGCCAGACCTGATAAAAAGACAACATACTAACTGAAAGACACAGTATTAAAAGGACCACAGAGTTACAGCAATAGATTTGACGTTTCTAAAGCTGCTTTATCTGTCTTTAAAACTGATTCACAGCTTGCAGAGTTGAAACAGTGTAGCAATGTAGCACACAGGGCACCCTGAAAAGAAAATTAACTAAATGAAAATTATTAGGCATTGCTTGGTCATGTAATGTACAGTATATGCTAACCTTGTGGTTTAATTTGTGTAATACAGTTAAGTTAAATCATTCCCCAGATTCTGTTTATGGTGAAGTCTGGGTTCCACAGTGTTACCTACTGATTTCATCGCCTTTCTACCCAAATTAATGTGTTACCAGTTCCACGTCATGCTGACACAGTGGTTCCAGGTGTTTCTGGTTTGATAAGAAAAGCGAACAGACAAGGCACCAACTGTCTCCATTCGTGAATATTCAGCAGCAGCTGCCTCTAACCAGAAAAACTTTGGCTCTGCCAGACTTTAGTTGAACTAATGTAAATGGAAAGGAGTGGAAGTGTTCCATCACCTTTAGTCCATCACCTTACAGCATGTTTTCACTCTTGGTCTATGTCAGCCACAAATTTATACCTTGGTAACCTTGAACAAAGTCAGCAATGTGCCTCTTCATTTTAGGCTGATGAAGTAGATTTTAGTCAATTTTATCACATTTTACAGGCAGTAAATTGATTTATTTTGGAAGGATAAAAGGGCACAAGAACACTTTTTTTCACACAAAAATTTTGTTGAGATGAAAATTTAGATAATTTCTTTCTGGCTGGTCATTTGTGTCCATGTGCAAACTTTGATTTATTGTACATCTCTGACATTAACACACCCAGAGGTGTGTTCAAGAACCCTTTCTTGGTCCACTGGCAGATTCACCACACACGTCACTGTATAAACACAGTGCGTGTTGTATTTACATTTCCCTTATTGTATATAAACCTGAGCTTTATTCTCCACACTCCCACACCAATGTATTGTGTCTGCATGTGATGGATGCTGTGCTGTATCAGAGCACTGCCTGGGGAGTTGCATCGTGTGCGTGACCCCCTCAGTAATGAGGGAGAAGAAGGGTTTAGGGTTACTAAAGATGGTCGTACAGGTCATAGGAACCACTCTTCTACTGAGAAGGACAGCTGTCATTTATCTGTTAGCTGTATGAGACTTCATCAATCATACTTCACAGGACTCCACAGGATCATTTGAATGTTTTGATCAACATTAATTCTTCATCGTTCGCAGTCATTTTTTTCTCTGACTTAAACCTTCACTTCTTTCAACACCTTTCTTTCCTCTCCACCCTCATGCTCCTCCACCTTTATTGCTGCAACCCAAAGTCCAGCAGTATAAGTGGTAGTAATTTCATTGCGGATGTGGTGATGACAGTGATGAAGTAGCCACAGACCCTGATCAGATCAGAGCTAGACACTTACAGGATTAAAGCTTCCTCTCCACAGCCAGTTACCACACCATCTATAAACACTGGCCACTAAAATGCAGTATATGTTTGTACATGTGTGTGTGTGTCCTTTATGTGTGAGTGTGTCTGATTGTTTCTGTCCATACATACAGTGGATTGTGTGGCTCTTCCAAAACTAGTTTTATGAAATCTCTCTACAAAGCACTCTAGCTTGGATTTATATTCCTGTCATGGCCTGAGTTTGTGTTAAAGCATGTGTGTTTTCTCTTTTGCAAGAAGCCCAGGAGGAGAAGAGGAGGCTGTGTAGCAGGTGGACAGAGAGCGATAGGGGGAGAGAGCGATGGAGTGAAATCCTTGTAAAGGCAGCTGGGCAATGAGGCAGACAGAAGCTAATTAGAGAAGCAGCCTCCTTTACAACTCCGCAATTAGATCAGTTGTGTGTGTGCAGGCAGCAAGTCAGCTGGCCGTGTCTGAAAGGTGTGTTTATTTGTCTGTACGCGTGTGTGTGTGTGTGTGTGTGTGTGTGTGTGTGTGTGTGTGTGTGTGCGTGTGTTTGTCTCCCAGCACGAAGCATCACACACTCCCTCTTCTCTCCTCCTCCATTTGGCTCACTCACCCAAACAATCCACATGCTAATTACCATCTCTGGAACGCCACTTCCTCTGAACAAATGTCAAGTGGATGACAATTTACAAGCGACACTTGAGGAGAGCGGATGTTCTGAAGCCCAGCAGGTTTAATAATGAAGAGCTGAGTATTGTTGTACTTGATGCATCGTGCAGTAATCAGGAGAGAGGAGGAAAGAGAATGTGGGAGGAAAGAGGGGAGACAGAAAAGTGAGAGAAACTCAGGCAGAGGCTGCTGTTAAGGAGTTAAGCTAAGGATAAGAGGATGATGAGACAGCCAAAGAAAGAAACTGTTCGTGGAGGCCTGCTCATTAAAAAAGGCTTCAGCTCTTTGTTTCACTTTTGACTCCTGCACTCCAGATTGTGATAATGAAGACAAAGAGTGGTGTGTTGTGTTCATCTCACATCCCATCCCTCCCCTTCCCAGACCTAATCAGTTTTTTTTTTCATCACCAACCCAAGGTCTTTGTGTGTATGCTTGTATTTGTGTGTGCGCAGAGGGGTGCATCAGTATGTGTGAATGTATCTTAGAAAAGTTAACTGTGTGTCTGCGTGGGGTTCCCTGTGTGCAGTGCAATGAGATGAAGATGCTGTTTCCCGCAGGGTGCTATCTGTGCCTTTCTAATGAAGGATGGGACTTCATTGGATTAGAAAAAGATTGTGTGTATGTGTGTGTGTGTGTGTGTGTGTGTGTGCGTGTGCCCAGAGCCCATTGCTCCTCTACCTCTCAGGGCATAAATACCTGTCAGAGGCAATTAGATCCTGATTGATTTTCTAAAGCTCTCTTTGATTGTAGCAATTTCTGCCCCCTTTCACCTGCAAATGACTGCTCCAAAAAGAAGAACATGAGTTGTGCAGGGTGTTTGTGTGTGTGTGTGTGTGTGTGTGTGTGTGTGTGTGTGTGTGTGTGTGTGTGTGTGTGTGTGTGTGTGTGTGACCGGCTATCTGACAGTGCTTCCTTTGTCACTGGTGACCTTGACTCACTGCACTGAACTGTAGAGGTTACCCTCATTTTGAAGGCATCGAGCTGTGGGTTTGTAGGTGCAGTTCACTGAGGCATAAAAATGACAAGAGTATAATTTTGTTGCAGTTTTATTCATCAGAAAAGATCCATGGTATTCACATTTAAACAATTTAATTAATGAACACCAATAAAAGGCTTTTTTATATACAGTTCCTACAGGGTTGGATCTATCATTCTAATGTGTGTTGGATTATGATATTAAAATATTGCTGGATTATTTTATGTAGAAAGTGTCAAGTTCATATATTGTTTTTTTTTGTGAAAGTACCTTAACTGTATCATACAGACATTTTTGTAACCCCTGTAAAGATGTGATATCTTATCTATATATTCACCTCTTTTAAAATCCTAACTACTTTATGTGTGTGTGTGTGTGTGTGTGTGTGTGTGTGTGTTTGTGTGCATAGACACGAGGGCTAGATGAGACTGAAGTCCCACTGAAACACCAGCTTCTGCAGGTCATAGTACGAGTACTTCAATATCGAATGCTACTGACAGGTAACATACAAACACACACATTTATTTTCTAACACAAAGCCATGTATTGTATTTTTTGCTGAATCGTGGCCACAAAGTAAAGACTCAGTAATGTCTAAGGTTTGCTGATGACAGCTAACATTAACCATCATTAGCTAATGCTCATACAGCCTATTGGCCTAGTAAGGCTGTAGCAGTAAAACCCTGGAATGTACTGATGTGAGCAGGGGTGTGTTTTATTGCTCATTAATCTAGGTTTCATATGTAATAGGAAGAATATGTTTCTCTGGCTTTTTCACAAATGTTAGAGACGGGAGTATTAACATAATGTTGTGGGGGTTAGCCACAGAGACCAGCTGCACTTCAGAGACAGCTGAAATATTGTCATGTTTTTCTTACTAAATGTTACATTTTATTTAATTAAGTCATTTGATATTTTCAGTTCTTGATTTTTTTTTCTGCATGTTTTACAGATTACCTGAACAATCTTTCTCCTGACTCTAAGGAATACGAGGACACACAAGGTACCCTGCAGAGCGGAGTCCTGTGATAGTTACACTCACACAGACACACTGCAGCTGCTCGACATGTATCAGGGCCCAGTTGTTGAGTCATTGAGCATCTTAACTGAATACAGCTGTGTGTAAATCTTTCTCTTTCTTTCTCTCTTTGTGTTGCAGCTGCCTTGGTGATTGTGTCTGAGGTGGCAGACCAAGCCAATGACAATCTGAAACAGGGGGTGAGTTTGGTCTGGTTGTCCCCTGTGTGTTTACATTCAGGCTGTTTAGCTCCTGTTGACTGAGTTTCACATATTCACAACCCAGGAGTGGTATGATTGAGACCCGTAAGAGCGATTTTCAAATGGAGATTGAGCATGAAGACATTAGACAGCTGAGGTGTTTCTGCATATACTGTCAATCCCTCTTCTAAATGATATGCTGGACTGAAGGACAGGTCTGTCCCTCTGTGACCTCTGCAGATTGTTCATTAACTCCTGGGGCGAGGGAAGGTGATGTCATCAGAAAGTCCCAGGTGTATCATTAGAATGAGAGGAGTGTTTACACTGCCCCTTGATCATGAATAGATGATGGAGAATTCACAGTCACCCTCATCCTCACACCCCCCACTGTCTCACTGTCTCTCCTACCTCTCACTGTCAGGATCCCCTGTGCCTCACTTTGGCTTCCCTTTTCTTTTAATCACACTCGTTTTTTTTCTTGTTATCTCTTCTATGCACACGCACTGGCACACACACACAGGCTGACAGACAGTGGAAACACAGGCCCCCTTTTATCCCCCCCCCAACCCCGTTCAGTTTTCAGTATCAGATCCCTTTCCACCTCCCTCCCTTTCATTCACATACAGACTGGAACAATTGCATTCGCTGTCTCCTTTTGCGTCTGTCACTGGATAATCTCCTTCCATCTCTCTTTCCTGTCCTGCCCCGCAGGAGAACTTGCTGCGCCTGGTCCACATTGAATACAGCATGAAAGGCAAGAGGGACCTCCTGAAGCCTGGAAGGGTGAGCACCATGTAATCACGTCTGGCTAACACTACTGCTTCACTAGCAATACACAGCAAGATTTTGTTCTATAATGGCATCTGAATGCTTCAGTCTATGCAGGCATCAACAGGATTTAAAAACAGTTCATGTAAGCAGTAATGCCATCATCTAACAGCCCCTTCTTATGCATTTTCTGTCTGTGTTGTTTCTTTTGGCAGATGTTTGTCAAAGAGGGCACACTCATGAAGGTCTCAAGGAAAAGCAGGCAGCCACGACACCTATTCCTGGTAATATTTCTTCTGTCCATTGCACTCAACATGAAATTGAAAGCTAATATTTAAGCCTTTAAAATACAGTTTACCCCTTTTGCTCCTTTCTGTTGTTTAATAGTTCAGCATTTTGGGAAATATGCCTATTAGATCTTTTGCCAGGATTTAGACTCAATCAGCAAAGAAGATATAATGTGGTAGTTAGCAAGCTTTAAAATACTGGTAGACAGGTTTTCTTACCTTCAGACAGAGACAGGCTAGGTGTTGCCTTGCTTCCAGAGTTCGTGCTAAGCTAATATAGCTGCCTGCTAGCTATAGCTTTATGTTTACCATATAGACGTGAGAGTGGTATTGCTCTTCTCATCTTATGTTAAGATAGAAACAAATTTGTTCATTCCCTAAAATGTTTAATTTGGAAAAATTATACTCCTGACCCTGTGGCAGCTTGTCACTATGTGATGATATTTATCCTGGGTGATATATTCAAGCTCAAGTCTTCATGTGCACAAAGGGTTTTTTCTGTCTACACCTTTCATTCAAATGGCTTGTGTGTCAGTGTCTAAAACAGTATATACTACAGATGGGTGACAAGTTAAAGGAAAACCATGAATAAATGACTGGTCTCTGTCAGTTTGACAGTGTCCCCATCCATAGGGCATGAGGGGTCAATGAATGGTTTGATGTGAATGAAAATAATGTGAATCATATGCCATGGCCTTCATAGTCACCAGATCTCCACTCAGTTCAACACCTATAGGAGATTCTGGAGCAATATTCGGTGTCTTTTGAAACACTGGGATCACCACTAGTATTGAGTATGAGTATGGATGAATAGCTAAGCCAGCATATTCTTTGTTACATCAGCAATTTGATGAGCCAGTGCAACAGTAGAAAACACCTGGCATGTTTCTGAAGGAATTCTGAAAACAAAGCTAGTGTGATTTGTGAAAATATGGGGGAATGTTGGGTGGAGGTCAGTCTCTGACAGGGGCACAAGGCCAGGGCTGTAAACCCTCCAATAAGCACCACACCCATCCAGCAGGGGCCACCCTCTCCACTCTGCTCCTCTCCTCTTCTCTCCTCCCCTCTGAGGACTTGTTTTCCAGGGCCCAGCTTCCTTACAGGATGTTTGGTGTGGGTCACTGGATGCTGGCTTCCTGTGTACTGGGAGGGGACTGACAGCAAAGTGAAGGCCAGACACCCTGTAGAATGCAGGGAGGAGGGGTGGTGGTGTTAAACAAATGCATAATGAGAAATAGAGAAGCCCACTCCATTGTTCCATGTGAGTTCAGTGCTGTTTCATGTTGTGAGTTATCCGCAGGATTTTGGCCTATACAGTACTAAATGATCCAAATAGACTATAACATGAAGATACTCTGTGGAGTCATTTGTGTTTTTCATTATTCTGTTTATCTATTTTCATCCTTCTCCCAGTCCTATTAACAGGGCAGTGACTGAATAATACTTGGTGTGGATTGGTGGGCTATAATGGTTATATTGCCACTGGCTCCCTTGAAGTGGATGGCTTCCTAGCATCAGGTGTTATTTATGGGCTTTTAAGAAGAGAGAATCTAAAGAACAATGAAGATGAAAGCTATTACTCACCTCAGAAAGAACCTGCAAACATGTCACAAGGCCAGTTTGAAAGAAGAAAGAGAAGGGGGTCAAATCACAGTGAGAAGGGATTAGAATAAGGATGGCGAGAGAGAGGGTGAAGGAGGTGAAGGATTAGAGGATGAGATAAAATGCCACTGTTGAAAGAGTTCATGTCTAAGGTGCCATGGGGTCAGGTAGGTACATGTTGTGTCTCATTTGGGAAAGTTGTTTGTGAAGTCTGTTAACTCGGTGCTCAGTCAGGTTTCTGTGGAAGGAATCTCGGAGTAAATGAGCAGCGCAGGGTGGAGCAGATGAACTGTGGTGGCTTCAGCCCAGAGGTCGCAGGCAGGGCTCACGCTTGGCTATCATGCACTGTTTTGTCTCCAGCCAGCCAGCCAGTGAGTACGTAACTGCAGCTGTTTGTGTTGTTGTTGTGGTGAAGGTGGTTGGGTTCCACCCAGTCCTGGTTCTCAGTGTAGCCTGAGAAGGCAGGGAGGGTGTGGGGAGGCCTGAAGTCCGGAGCAGGGTGGGAGAATTCCTGGATGCTGCCTTTATAGCCCCAGCGGATGTTTAAAGCACATATTAGGTGTGACCAGTGATGTCATTCCTTTTGTCTGCAAAGAAATTAAATGCTTCTCATAATACAATGGACTCTCAGCATCACAATACTTTGAGTGTGACAAGCAAATAAACACTTTCTTTACAGTAATGTTTGATTTTATTGTGCACATACTTGGGGATTTTGTGTTGACAGGATGCACAGACGTGTGAGCGCTGTGAAAGGAAACATAGTCTAAGTAGTTGAGCCCAGAATTCGATTTAAAATAGGAAAGAATAAACAGAGATGCATGCTGCAATGTCAGACATTTCTCTTAAGGTAACACCACCACCTTGTGGTGGTGGGAGTGTTACATTCTGAATAGCTGGGAATTTAAGTAGTACTTATTTTTGTAACCTTAACTATATGATTACTGCACATTCTGATTTATCTACTCATTTTGTTGAAGCATCATAAACAAATAAGTGAAAGCTAATATAATATACCCCTGATGTGTTCTTTTCTAGATGAACGATATAATGCTGTACACCTACCCTCAGCAGGATGGGAAATACAGGCTTAAAAACACGCTTTCTCTGTCCGGGATGAAGGTTGACCTTTCACTTCTCTGATCATCTCGGCTTATGTCTTTCTGTACTTCTCTGTTCACAATGTTTGTTGACTAAACTGTCATATGTTTACATATACAGGTGAGCAAACCTGTCCTGGACAATGTACTGAACTGTCTTAGGGTTGAGGTGTCTGACATCACCATTACACTCTCTGCCAGGTGAGCAGCTCACAGCCAGAACACCGAAAAAGGAACAGTATGGGTTTGTTTACTGACTGGCATAAGACTCCTTGCCTCCTGTTGTTAAGTCTAAAGCCTTTCAAAGACATCAGTTGTGGCTGTCTGTTTATCTCTTCAGCTCGGTTGGAGAGAGGGAGGACTGGTTCCACACACTAAGTCGAGCCATAGCCGACCATGCTGCAGGACTCTGTACGTTTGGCGGACCCTGCAGTGAGGTAATAAAAAGAAATTTATAACACCAACAAAGGCTCTTTGTTGAAGAAGAGAATGTATCTTCTAGTTGTATGATTCACTGCATCAACTGAAAGAAGTCTACATTTGTAGGTGATGATCATTACTTTTTTGAATAAAACTTAACAATAAACACTTGGATTACAGCGAAAACAATACTGAAAGTAAAGATAATAGCTGTAAAAAGCAGCTTTGTGCCCAGTATCTTTCTGATTCAAACATTTCACCACCATCTCAATCTTGTTTAAACAGGCCCGTGAGAAGTTGTGGATGGCCCTGGGTGAAGCTGCTCCAGTGCTGGTGCCAATTTCTCATGTGATGATGTGTATGAACTGTACCTCTGACTTCAGCCTCACGCTCAGACGACACCACTGCAACGCCTGTGGCAAGGTCAGATACACAGCACCGCACAAATCACTTTTCCTTAGGACATTACTGAACTTATCTAACCTTAGTTTAATGTAGCAACTTTGATCCTTTTGTTAAAGATTTTATTGTTTTTGTTAATACTGTGTATCTATGTACAGTATGTACACTCTCTATGTGAATGATAAATGAAGCCCAGTGAAACTGTCCATCTGTGGTTCATATATTTTCTTCATATTTTATCTCTCTAACCAGGTGGTGTGCCGTGCTTGTTCCAGGAACAGATACCCACTGAAGTACCTCAAAGATAGGATGGCCAAAGTGTGTGACCACTGCTATGCTGAGCTCAGGAAGAGAGGTGAATCTTAAATTTCTGTATACAGAAGTGAGTCACTGGTGCTAGAACTAAAGTGTTCTTGGTGTGTTCCTTCCTCTTTGGCATAGTATTAATTGTGTGTTTGTAGGTGGCAGCGTGTCAGGGGCATGCAGTAGCTCCAGCCCTAGGACTCACCGTGCCAGTCGTCCCCTTTCTGCTGTCTTCCAGAGTCTACAGCCCCCGAGTTTGTGGAAAAGCAGAAAGAGCACCTCCGCTCTCAGTCAGGTGGACTACACTTCCCTTGTGTGCCTGTTTCAGTTGTAACATGCATCACCCATGTAACGATATCACTATTTCTTTACTTCTTATTGGCAGCTATGATCAGAGAGACATCTAGGGAACGGTGGTGGCATTTGATTAGAGTCTTTTGTTAGAAGGAAACACTTTAGGCTTGTTCCAGATTACCTGCGTTTTGCCTGGTAAGCAGACTAGAGCAGGCGGCAGCAGGGGGTGGTGACAAAAATCCGCAGTGAGGACAGACAGTTTAGGAGCTTTCCACCAGCCTTCAGTCTGTATGGGAAGTCACAGAAACACTCACATTCTGTTCAATCTGATCCCAATTTAATAAAATGTCATGAAACCAAACGTTCTAGCTTCTACAAACAGTTGCTGATTTAATGACGTTCTTGTATATGACAAGAAGAGTGATAACTGCTGTTGAGCTCCACAATTACTCAAATATTGTGCATGAAAATGCATATGGGCTACATTTCTCATATCAAACAGTCATCATATCAGTTTGCTGCTGTATTTGATCTGACCAGGCTTGATATGAAACTGCATAAATAAATTCACAGCCATTGTTGATCAGTCAGATATTCAGCCTGCCACTGCTTCACCTCTGTACAGATGTCATTTTAAGAATCTTCACATCCTTTGTGTGACTTAATACTTCAGGAATTAAATCAGTAATGTTCATATTGTATAGCAGAACAGACTGTCTGCAGTATATGAGAACTATAGGCCTATATGTCTTGTGCTCTAAGTGGACTGTATTCAGCTTCTCTGATAAAAGTCACCACCAACCACACATTTGTTCTGTTCACAAAATAAACCTTCATAGTGCAAATACCAGCTAGTAAAATCACAATCACTGCAATTATTCACGAACTATCAGGTGAGAGCCAAGTGGGTTCTATCATACCCTGAGCTTTTGCAGTAGGTGGCGAACAACTGTGGCACTTGGATCGCCACCGCCACCGCCTTGAGCCCATGAGAATTTCACTGCCCACCTGAGCATTACATCAGAGGACATCGGGATCAAGTCAGACAGAAAACTAGGCAGCATGTACTGTGTGCCAAGCACTGGTCATCAAATGTGGGCAGATCTGGGTCATCTCAAATGTGCCTTTTGTCTCACAACACAGCTTAATTTTAGTCCATCCTGGTGTTTGCCTTTTTAATATGACACCACATCTCACTGGCTTGAATTACTCCATGATCAAAGAATTGTTCTCTGACCAGGAATTTAAACCAGACTGCAGCAGTGAGAGCACCAAATTCCAACCACTAGATCAGCAGGGAGCTGCTGGTCAAGCTGGTGTCACCTAAACCAAACACTTGTGTACTGGAATACTGGGTATTTAATGTCAACAGCTCAAAAGTAGACACATTTTACCAACCCATATCATCAAAGTAGACAGTTTGTAGTGCACAACAACTGACAGTCATGTTCACTACTGTTACTCCCCTCTTCCTATGACAGATAATAGGAATGTAACGCAGTCCAAGTCCTGTAATTAATACCAGATTTGTGACTCTTATGTCCTGGGGTTCTTGTTAGACTGTCCCCTCCCTGTAACTGCCCACATGTGCTTCTGTCTGTGTGTGTGTGTTTTATCTTGAATATATCATGAATTCCATCAGGTATCACTTGGCGTGGAAGACTCCACCATGAGCGGCAGCCTGCAGCGCCGGAAGAAGAGCAAGAGGAAGTGGAAGCGGCTGTGGTTCCTCCTAAAAGACAAGGTGCTCTACACCTTCACAGCCCGTGAGGTGAGGGGGCACAGAGTCTCCCACACCAGCCCCAAAACATCCACACACTCTCATTATCACTCGGTCACAGAGGCAATTCCTCACAAACTTTGTCTGTACTTCTTCTTTTTCACTTCTGACCCATCTTTCCTCCTGGGCAAAACACTAGTGAAGGGATTCTCTGTGCTCTCTGTATTTCTTTTGACATGTACACGCCTGAGCGTCGCTGGTAAAATGTGTGTTTTAAACATGTCTTCACTTTGGTTTCCTCAGGATACAGTGGCTTCAGAGAGTCTACCTCTGCAGGGCTTCACTGTCAAGCTGACTGAGAGGCCAGAGGGAGAGGAAAGCAGCAATGTGTTCCATCTCTACCACAAGAAGACCCTCTACTACACTTTCAGGGCTGATGATCAACATACTGCACGCAGGTCAGCACTGGCAGTGTATTAACGTAGTTGACAATTTTCATTCCTGTACTGGAAGCTGGAAGCACACACACATTCCCTGACCAGGAATCAGACCTGGGCTGCAGCACTAGATCATCAGGGAGCTGTGAGCAGTTGCTGGTTGGCACGTTGGTGTGGTGTGTGTATGAGTGACAGCAGACAGGGAGGACTGACTGTCCTTTGTACAGTGTTGTGCCTCTGTAGAGCACTTTTCTCACTCTCCCATATGACCTGTATATCTTGAGAAAGATGGCTGTCTTAAGTGGTAGTGAGAGTGCCTTGGATTGATTGGACCTAAAATACTGCTTGTGTTTTCCTTTCCATGCTCAACATCTCATATCAGCTTTTGTATTTTCTTTGTTTTTCTTGTCTATTTTATCTGTATATGTGTTCTTTAATGCTGAGGTTTTGGTAATAAGTGTTAGTCTGAAAGCATCAAAGTCTGTGTCTGCATTATTTTGATGAATATGTGGCTTGTAAGTAATCCAGCTGGCAGATCAAGTTTATTAAAGGGCATTTGTTTGTCGCTTCCAACTGACGCTGTTCAAAAGGCACCAATTATCATATTTGCTGCTGATAATTTATTTGGTTGAGCTTGTTACTTCCTGTCAACTTCTTTCCTCTGGATTTTTCTTGTAAAAACAATTCAAAATAGCACTGAGTGCATGTTCATAAACATATGTACAGCAGCAAACAAGCAAATGTTGTTTACCTGCCAGGTAAACGCCTACAACATTCAAAGTCTTATCTCTATTTTTGTAGAGCCCAAGTGAAACACAGTGTTCCATGTAACATTGTGTATCAAGGTCTCATGTTTCTTTTCCTTGTGTTTCAGATGGGTCGATGCAATGGAAGAGGCTACTGTTTTATAGCATCTGCTCAGCTAAATGAACAAGCCTTGCTGTCCGTGACTGCTAGAACTCCTCTATGGAGTACAACATGGCTACCTGCTGCATCTCAGCCCAGTGAGAAGTTGTCATGTCTGGCCTGTTTTGGAATATTACATGACAATATAATCACCGCAGGGATCTTAGACAAAGCTGCCACCCTGTGTTCAGAGATAAAAGTGCGGAGAGTCAGAAGGATGCTACTCTGTGGACATGAGAAATGGAAACCTTTTGTTGCAGTATGAACATATGAAAACTCTTTGGTTCCCAGCACACTGATCCAGCAGCTTGGCTGCATCAACAGCTTCATCTAGGAGCTTGAGAAAGAAGATTTGATTCTCTCATTTTATCTTTTTATAGGGGCCATCCCACAGAAATCTGTTTCTGTTCCACCTGTATTATGCTGTGTCTTACAAGAGTCACCACTGGATTATTAAACCAAAGCTTTTGGTCTGCAGGAGAACATCACATCCTTTGTTGTTAAATGCAAAACAGTTGCACCATCACTTTCCAAAAAGATCTAACAGACTTTGCTCCATAGTCGTATTCACAGATCATAAAAGGGAAAATATCTGCCACCATTTAGAGAGCTATTTGGTATTCTGAATATATATATTGTGAAGTATACACTGCAGATATTGAAGTGAATTATATGGTCTATTTGTATAGAAAAGGTGTTACAATGTTTTGAGGAAGAGGTCATCTTAGTCATCGCAGTTTGTGTACATTATGTTTCCTGTGGCACCTAACACAGTCTTACTCTTGTATTGAATCTACAAATCTACAGAATGACCCTGAGCATGACACTGACACTGACACTAACAGAAATGACTTTGTATTTGAATCAGAAAGTTTTCAGTATTTGGTAAAGTTCTTAAGTGCCATTTGATTTCTTCCCATTAAATGCAGTGAAACTTGCAACTGATGATGAATGTGCCTGAAATGAAACTGTACTCCTTGTCTGTTTTTATTTTATCACAGTACTGTACTACTGTCGTTTCTCTAGAAGAGACCTTGATGACATTTGCTTTTAATCTATTCTTATATACTTTAATCTTCTAGTACAATCCAGTAACATAAGAATATAGTATTGTGCCAGTTTTATTAATGCCTTTTAAATGCTGCATATACACTGCTGGGTTTAATTACACTTTAACCATTTGGACTTTAAAAAAAGGCCACTGTCAACCTGCCAATGACATTTCAGAGTCATCTGAGCTGCTCATGTCTTCAGCGGTAGGGAAGACACTTGAGTTTCATCCTTCTCTACTATTCTAACATAATCAGACACCCATAGTGTCTTTTAAATAATCTGACTAAAGGCATTACGTGCTCCATTCAGAGTGCAGCTGTACACTACTTGTGATCCCAGTCAGACTTCATTCTTTCTACTAAAGCACATGTTCATTCAGCAAGTACTGTTATGGGCCACACCTGTAGTGTTATTATGGATTGTACCTCTTGCAGATAGTGCAATGTAAATTTGAATGTATATAGATACATATAAAAATAAACTCCTTTAAAAAGTTATTCAGTTTGCTTTCACGGTGTTGTGCATGAATCAGTGGCTTTATTGTAAGTTATACAGCAAAGAAAGAGCAAACATAATAATATAAACACCTATCAAAAGTAGACACATTTTACCAAACCATATCATCAAAGCAGACAGTTTGTAGTGCACAACAACTGACATAAAAATAACATTCCACATATATATACTGTATATCTATATAGATAAAATCTTATATATATATATGATGGCATCCAGCTCAACAATACATTTTAGTCAACTGCTGTCGGACTTGATCTCAGTAACTATAATTATGAGCCTCACAAGAGTAGTTCTTATTGCAAGGCTGTTCCTATGCTTTGTATTAGTTTGTAAGAGGCATTCATATACTGCACACATGATTAATACTGGCCTGTCAATGAAATGAGTACATACTGTAGTGCAATGGAGCTGTGTCTCCATTGTTTGTGACAGGCCTACTGGTACAGTTTAGTTAAATGCATCCTCCATCCAGAAGGGGCCAGCAGAACATCATGCCATACAGGAAGTCATCTGAACGGCAGCAGACAGTTGATGACTGAAAGAGGGTTCCTCTTGCATACATCTGTTTATTTGTGGTGTGGGTGATGTTTGAGTTTACAGGGTTCAGAGATGATTAATAAGATGCAACAAAGAAATGCAAAAGTTGATTTTACACTAGCACAGCAAATGTATTGGTGCACAACATGTAGCAAATGTTCTGGAAGGAAACATTAATAGAAATTTGAAATATCATGTATTGAAAACATTTACTGGTGCATACAGAAAACAAGAGAGAGAAGGAAAGAGAGCATTGTTATTAGTAGCAAACCAGGGGTGCCCCTTTATTCTACTGCTTAGTTTTGCCTGTGAATACCTTTAGTGAAAGTAAGCACAGCATTTCAACATGTAATACCAGTCCTGACTGATCTGACCCAAATACTAATCAGTATCTTCTTTGAAAATTTTTTAATTCACCTGTGTTTATGAAAGGAGTGGCATGCCTCAGTATAACAAAAGCAAACTCAAGCAGTGTTAACTGAATTACAAAAAATTAATAAACTTCTTCCTCTTTTCTCTTGATAATGTGATGAGATGATTCAACTGAAAAGTCATGAAAGAGAAGAGGAATTCATACTGTTACCCAGACAATGCAATCAGGAAGTCCCAATTTACATCGGTTGTAGAGTGCTGTAGAAGAGTCATGCTATATCAGCATGCCGTCAAGTTTCACTAAACTGACTGACCCAAGGGAAACGCTATGTATAGCCCAGAAGGAGTACACATCATTAGTGTTGCCTGCTGATTTGATGTTGTAATTTGATGAGTAAAATACTCCATAATCTTTTCACCAGACTTTTCACTTCCCTCGCCCCAACCAGACTACAGGGTAGTAAGTTAATTTGTTACACCAAAGAGCTCTACAGAGCCAGAAAACCTGGCCAGACAGCAGTTGACCATGACCAAAAAAACTGTGGCTAGCAGAAATATTTGAAGGCAAAAAAACAGTACAAAACATTTTTGCCTATTTTTTTTCAGCATCTGAAAATTTAATGACAAGTTACCCAGAGCAATGTGAAAGCTTACTCAAGGAAAGAAAGGGGATGTGGCTTTAAAGTATTGGCCAACACAGGTCTGCGGAAAACTCAAAGCTGGCGTTTGATTTGCTGATTCATAATTTTAAATGCCTGCCTGTATAGAAGGGAATCGAGAGTGTTTGCTGAGGAGAATGTTTTTGGATACAGACATCAAGACCAAAAGATCATTTCCAATTAAATGAGTAAAGATGAAGTGACTGTTCACCAGTCACAGAGTAGGCAGAATAAAAACTAGGAGGATTGGGGTTGCTCTACATACATGATCCCAGGAGTGTCAGTGACCCAATACTTACATAAAGTGGCAAAAGACAGAGAGAGAAGTGAGAAAGGCATTGAAAGCAGGAAAAACTTTTCAATTCCTTCAAGCATCTGACTTCTTGTCTTGATAGGAGCATGAACTCGGTCACACAGTTGCTCACACACATACAATGACAGTGACACAATGTTTCCCTTAGCAGGAGAATCAGAGATGCAGAGTTATTAGGTAACTGCCTGCATGTCTGAATCAATAGCCTTCAATTTCTGTAGTCTCTGCAAAATGTAAAGGGCCTCTAATAATAGACAAGGACAACCTCTCCTTGTACATGCTTAAAATGTTTCAAATCCACATCGAGGGGGCCAAAAAGGAGACAGAAAATGTGTGCAGAGAAAAGTGATAATTGGTGGGCAAAGAGATTCTGATGTGAGATTCTAAGGTGGAAAACCTGACCAATGCTTTAATTGTGTTTAGACCTCAGACAATGATACCTACTGTAAGTTGAAACGTCACAGGGACATTCATCCCTGGCTAACTACATTGACAAAAAATCTAATGTAGGCAGGTTAAAAAATGTCCCATGTTGCAATCTCAAAAACTTTCCAGTGCAATACTATTAGACACACCTGATCAAATGATAGGCTTTGTTGAAGCGGAAGTGCTTTATGTAATAGCTCTAATGGAATTGTTCTTGTGTAATGTTCTTATTCACAAGGGTATCAATGTGCAATATGTTAAGGATACGTATGAACAACAGTAGTGTGTAAAATAAACAGCTGAGGACACTGAACGCACACAACAGTGTACCAATGGCTTTTTGATAATCAAGCTATGTGTCTTATCTGCTTTTGTAGCTGGCGCAATGTTTTAACAAAAACAGTAGATATGCTGTTGGTGTTTTTATGACAGCTTGTGGGAAAAGTCACTTCAGCATGGGCTAAAACAGGAAAGTAACAGGAAAGCTATGCTGCTTTTAGAAATAACCCACCCCTCTAATACAATGTTTTATGTTCATTATGCCACATATGGGCTAAAGCAGACTCATTTCTGTCTAAAACCACTGGGGTGGTTTACCTCAAGGTCATTTAAATGAAGCAACAATTGAACTCCTCTAGTACTCAGTTCTCAGTCTTACAACATAAAGACATAAAGCAAAGAAGAAGTGACTGTGTAAGGCAAAAGAACTGAGAAAAGCTGAGGCGAGAGAAGGAGACAGAAATGAGGACAGGTAGAAAAAGCCAGATTTAGTCTGTGGCACGTCTCTTGATGAAAGAACCCTTTTCTCCGTTCTAAGGGATTGTTTCTTCATCCCTCACTCCCTCCCTCTGTCTGTCCGTTCCTGTCGTTACACAAATGTTTGCCCTGGCACTGCTGGGATGGCAGAAACAGCCATCCAAATAGGGAGTGTCTGTGTCCCCTGCCCGGACACAAGTCTAATAAGGCTAGAGTGGTTTCATGTAGTATATGCTGTGTCATGTCATGCTTTTGAGGTTCTTACAGTGAAAATACATATTTCCAGTCTGTACAGCAGTCAGTCTTTATTTCTTTTGAAGTGTACAAACTGGCAAAATCTCACGCTGAAACTCTTCCAGCAGACAATACTGTCTTCCATTTAAACTTGAAAAGCACAAGAGGTCATTTCTACACTCCTTCAGCCCCAGGTGTTAGCAAGAAATTAATTAATTAATTGCCGTCACAACCTTTATGACACCAAGAAACTATACGCCTCTGGCATGCATTTCTTCCTTCACAGGGTGTTGGATGATGAGAAAACATTTTTTTTTGCTAGCTCACGGTGGTGTCGAGAAGAGAATCTTGCTTCCCCAGCATGATTCCTGTTGAACCAGAATGCTGGGCGGGACAAAACACCAGGAAGGGTTTACTTGAGTGCGCTGAATGTCAGGTTTTATTTAAAGGGAGGGGTGGGCAGGGGTGACTAATCCAAAGTCTGAAATAGTTTTATTGGATGAAACTTTAGTTACAACTACTGATGCAGCTTGGGGTCATCAGTGAAGATAGTGAATGGAAAAAGTGACATCATAGGAGTTTAACCCCCACCCAATGTTAAAGAAGATTTCAGTGACTATACTGAAATCTGGCTAACACAAAGAATATTAGGAATTTGTGGACATAGTGAATTGTGGATATAAAACTATTCTTTGTCACAGGTGAAATAACTAAGTAGAAACAGCTTGGCTGCAAATTTGTGTCTTGGTACAATGGAGACATTCTGAGGTAAAATGTTTTGTCTCTAAGTTGTTGCCCTATGCTCCAAATATTTGTAGTGGTGATGAGTAACTCTATTGTCTTGTTCGGTGATTTCTGTCAGCACTGAGCAATGGCAACCAGCCCATGTGTCATTGTTAGCCCCTTCTTGAGAGCTATAAATATCCCTTCTTTAGTTGATACTGACTAAATTTACTGGTCCATTCTCTGCTGTAGTCATACTGTTTTGGTGAGTGGGGGCTGATGAGTCAGCACCATGTGCATTTCTCTGCTTTGTGTGAGAGGAGCTGGCAGTAGTGGTGGGCAGGACCAGTATGGAAATCAAAGGCTGTTTGGATCAGCCCATAAACTGTAAGCAGCTCTCTAAACCTGTGGGTGGGTGGTCTAGACCAGTTATGCAAAATAATAATATTACATTTCATTTATATAGTGCTTTTCAAAAAACTCAAAGCTAAAACATGGTTATAGAAGATCAAATAAAAATCCTGAACAAAGTTTTTAAAACAAAGAACAAGTTAAATTAATGCATTAAGACCCACGCTGTATTGACTTCTTGGAGCAGAACATTAATGTGTAACTGCAAAACGTCTTGCTCACTTCCTTGTTTTGCCTTTCAGTACTGATGTGTTGTCCATTGTGTCAGGTTCAGTGGAAATAGTTTTTTTTATGCAACATGAAATGACACATTTATAGGACAAAGGACATAGCATAGAAGATGAGACAACAGACATTAACAAAAGAGACTAAGAGATTATTAAATTAAGTTGTGTTTGTGAAAGTGTGTAGTGTGGGTGTATCCAATTCTATGCAGACTGAAATTCACTATGTATTAAAGAAAAATAAAATCAGGGTTGTGCCAAATTGGAGTGTACCTACATGGTGTTACTGATGATTTAGTGGCTTTGCACCAGAGTTGCAGACTGTGATACTTTTGCAGTTCATTTTCTTAATTGTGTATGGTAAGAAGGCAATTATTAATATAATAATAACAACAATAATAATAATAATTTGTGATAAAGTTTTCATTTTGATTGTAGCAATTCGGCCAGTGAGTGAGAGTGGTTTTAGCAGAGGGGTGTAGCTCAGGTTAAAAGGTTCTGACAGCCTGGGGGAAATGCTGATACCTAAATATTTAATGTTGCCAGTATGAAGTGGGAGGGGCCAGTCTGGAGCTCCAGGAATTCAGCTGGAGAATTCACCTGGCTGACGTCACACGTAGAGTCCTCCTGTCCCTTTGCACCGCGCGCGCTGCACTGAGCCGCAGCAACATAGAGAGCGTGAACTAACAGCAGACGGCTTCACCACTTCCTTAAACACCATTTAAGCTTGTTTAGTCAAACTTCCAGCTAAACTGTGGTTCAAACGCTGAACAAACAACTTCTCGAGAAACGACACTTTCCAGCTCAGGGGACGAGGTAAGTCATAGTTTCTTGTGAAGTGGTTTAACTTGTGTTTGGCAGGAACAACTTGAACTCGGTGTGTGACCGCTGGGATAACAACAACACTAGTAGTAGTAGTAGCAGCCGCAGCAGTAGTAAGGTTTTGGGAATGAGAGGTGTTGTTGCTGTGGCGGAATGACCCCCTCTCGTTGTGTGCCAATGTTAGTTAGGTTAATTACATTAATCCGTGTTGTAGCTTTTCGGGTCCAGTCAGCGAGTCGCAGCTCTGCTTGTTTCCACTGATACTCGAACGTTGTTTGGTGTGCTCTGGGGCCGGCAGCCGGTGTCGGTGAGGCAGCCAGCTACTGTAACTGAATGGGAAATAAAAACAGCACAAGACGAGCTGACGACCAACAATACGACAGTTAGCAAAAATCAACACATTAATTTAAGTAATTGAACCCTTTAAAAGACCGATTTCTTCTTTCAGTAGTACGTTTGGGGACAAGCACGTTAAAAGGCTTATTTTTCTGTCTTAAATGCCCCTGTCATTTCTAAATGCATACGGTTTAAACTGGCAGGTGGACTTAATGTAAGTAACATGTTAGAATGTTATATTTCTCTTAAGGCTCAAATTTCTTCCTTTATTAAAGTGAATTATTCTAGTGCATTTTAGGTAGGCCTACACAATCAATGAGTTGTTTCAGTAATACTACAGCTAAACAGATAAATAAAGCATCCCTGGCAATAATAAAGTCCATATGCACCATTGAGTTCCACAGCTTGTAGGCTATACGGTCATCACGTAGTGACTATGTTGCTTACAAACAGTATTCATTATAGATTAGTCACTACATGCATATAAAACCTCATGTCTTCAAGTACAAAGGTGTACAAGATGAATTGGAGTTGACTTTATTTGCATAAAATCACAGATGTTCTATCATCTGGTTTCTGGTCTGGTTTGACAGAAAGCTGCCAGGGTCATAGTCAGTGGGTCATGATCAGCAGCACTTAGGTCATTGTGTTGTACTGGTGCAGGTTTTATTGTTCATTTGAGGCTGAAGTCCATGGGAGGGGTGGGAGGGGGGTGGGGGGTGATAAACTGTTGCGGTGTCATTAGTCCTAACCATCAGTATTTGCTCCGTTTATCACTCACCTCCATGTCACTTGCTCTCCCTGCCCTGTCAACATCCTCTAACCTTCTGATCTGAATGGCAATTACTGTTACATAAAGAAACATTGACTCATTGCTTGTACTACTCTATGCTTCGATTATCTGACTAGTCCTCATTTTCTCACTGCTCTCAGTGACTCATCGCTTGTAGTACCGCATGCTTCTATCATCTGACTAGTCCTCACACTGCCACCCTTCCTCTTGCTGATGATAATACTCACTGTGATGAAAGCTGACAGTAATAAAACAGCTTGTACATCATTCAAAGAAGCACTGATAATTGTATTTATCTTATGTACAGCTATACAGTATATGAATAAATGAATAATAAATGAAAGCTACTGCTATCTATATAAATTACTCATGCAGTGCAACCTAAATGCCGGACACTTTACTCAGATATCACATGGGCTTTCTGAGCAGTATAACATAATAAAGACATCACCGTTGGTTGTGCCCGTGAGCACCTTTGTTTATTTGCTGGATGAATATGTGGCTAATTAACTTTCCAGGTAACTTAGCCGTGATAGCTTTTAGTGATGGTTGATTGATCAGTACTTGAAAATAGGCCTGTTTTCACCAAAAATGTTTGTTTCCACTCCATCCAATTACTGACACTATATACTAGCTAAATATTTTATAATTACACAATTATAGGTGCTGCACAAAATGACATGTTAGTGTTAATGTTATCTTTTCAGGCACATCCTGGCTGAAGTGAAGTGTTATTATTGATAGCTAGTGAGTGGAATCTGCTCATAATGTATGACTAATGCACAGAATGTGTGCTAGCTCTCTCCTCTCTTGTTCTCTCCGTCTCCCCGCCCTCCCTGTCGAGGTTGAGTGGTGTGCTGTGTTATCAGCAAGCTAACATTCTGACAGGAACTGAGCATAACACTGCCAGACAATAACCATCCGTAAATGTATCAGCTTCATAACACTTTATAAAAACTATCAGAACTGACAGTGATATAGCCCATGTAACACTCATATTACATTCAAATACAGAGACAAGACAGTGTTAAACACTGTCTCTGTGTCTAATATCAAACACTGAGTGTATGATATGAATTGTACCTAGCCACATGCAGCAGTTGTGCCAAAGATTTTGAAATACTAAATCCTCCCTAGTCCTCTGTGGTCGAGCAACAGCTTCTGCTTGGGTACGATAACACCACTTGGACACACCACCACAGAATTGCGGTACCCCATACTACTAGATCCGGTAGTAATAATAATTAATAGCTATTTGTTAATGTTAGTTATGGTTATGATTACATTTGCTAATGATTAACTCGGAGGGTGGTGCATGTTGCCTGTCATAGCAGAGCATGTTTGTTTTTTTTCACTTATTTTTGATGTTAATATATTGGGGGCCACATTTTAAGTATATTTGAATATTGTGGGGGATGTGTCCCCCCCAGTGTATATTACAAGTATGGTCTTGAAAAAATCCCCCCTCACTGCAGTCAGATTTAACTAGAATAGCATTTTGTCACCAGTCTATAACCATATTCCATCTTTTTGTGGCCAGTTACATTAGTCTTCTTCTGTTTTACTTGTGGCCTGTGGCCTGTTTCTCAATCATTGGCTTTATCCACCAAAGGTGATGAAGTTGTGCGATGGCAGTGTTTAGTTTAAGGGAAGTGTCTGTATGAGGATTACCCTGCATTCTTGTGGCTGCACATAACTGAGCCTCCCGATTCCACAGTAGTACAGGGCTTGTCAGCTCTGCGGGTACATTAAACACATGACAACGTTTTGAAACATTCCTTCCATTGCATGAAAAATTCTTGTGTTACACGCTATAGCGCAGTTCTGCTTCTGTGGCAAGACTCTGTATCCTGTAGCTGTCTTCTGGAGGCAGTGCAGCTTAGTGATGGCAGGTAACACTATCTCCCTGCAGTTACTGGTGTGTGACTATTGGCTTGGGCCATCAAGAGCTGCTTGGAGGATGTGGCTGTGACATCAAAATCAGAGATTGGAATTGGCCCAGAGAAAATCCTGCTCGGTGCTGTTAGGTATTTTTAGTCAGATAGAAATTGGATAGATACTTTATGTATTAGAAATGTTTAGTAGAGATAGGATGTCTAGTTAGACTGTTAAATGCTTAGGCCTGCTTATGAGTTTCTACAGGGTACATCTGGTCAAGGATAACTAGAGAGAAGAGTTGATGACTGTCAGCAGACAGGGTGTTTAATATTATTATTATGACGTGTATAACTGTAGCCTTAGCCATAATATGTTCTTATGTTTAA